GGCCTATATGGATCTACACCAGACAAAAAACCTTACATCCATTATCCATCTTCACTGAAACAAGTAACAACAGCCAGTAGTAGACTTGATGGCACAAAACTGTTCATTAAGTGTTGGTTTAATCATCAAAAGAATAAATGCTTAGCGTACTTCTTGGGTTATATATTAAATTGTGATATTTAGAGAGTTTATGGTGGGAAAGCCAATATAGAGTTTTGAAAGGGTGTCTAAGGCAATGACAACTCTGTAATTTGGGAGTGATAGAAGACTCTCCTTTGAGGTACAGAACAGGCTACCATTTGAATCTTTCTTATGCTCCCTATACTGAAAAGTTGAAGTAATGGGTTTTACAGGGGTATGAACTTTTCTGTTTGACCACTCATAAAGAGCTCAAAGAATCAATGTGATTTCAGTTATAGGGAAATAAAAACAGTTATGATTTTAAATGACAGAGTATGATTGTTCTGGGGCTCTCCAATATGTATCCTTTCTAAACTTTTAGAAGGAATTTTGGCTTATTTTTTCCCAGAATAATACCAGATGATTAAAATGGCAATATCAGACATCATTGTTTGAGGCCTATGGGCTAGGCACTGTACTTATAACCAGGCACGTATACTCACATCAGCTTATTTAATTATAGAACAGCACTAAGAGGAAGACAGTATCATTCCAATTTCACAGATGAAGCTAGAGTCACTGCACATCTTACTCAAAGTTTCACAGTGAGTCAAGGACAGACCCAAGGTTCAATGCCAAGATCTGAACTAAGCTTTTCTGATTCCAAAGCCAAAGCCTATGGCCAAAGATAAACACATTTAAAAGAGATGGTGTTAATCTCAACACTTCCTCACAGAAAGACAGTGAAAAAGTATTTCTGTCAATGAATTTTAACTAATGTATCTGAGTGAATGTCACTTAGATCTTGCTGAATCTTCCATATTAACCATTATGTGGAAATTTCTCTGGCAAGTTTTCTCAAATCTAGACTCCCTTTACATACACAAACCAACTTGTGGCCGCTTGCTTAAAATGTGATGTCAGACAAAATGAATGCTACCATATTTCAACATCAGATATTTACTCATTGCAATCATGCTTGCAATCAAAGTGTATGACTAGAATAAGACTAGCTTTGTCTATTATAACTAGTAAACTCTAGTCATGATATGGCAACATTGTTTGACAACAACTAAATAAATCTTTTTATTAGTGTGGAATTTAGGGCAGGATTTCTAATTATAAAGGCAGCTATCATATACAGAATAGCACAGGACTCAAAGTAAAGGAGTATAACTTTGTTGAGCCCCTACTCTGTATTAATCACAATTAAAACACTTCATTTCATTTTCCCCCAAAGTATCTTGCAAGGCAAGGTCATTGAGGTGTCATGATTTTCAGGTGAAGAAGCCAAATTTCAGAGAGACTGTGAAATTTTCCCATATATAGTGAATAGTCTAGCTGGGATTCCAACCCAAGCCTCTCTGGTCTCAATACCTGTACCTGTTCCATGGCATCACCCTAACCTCCATGCCACCAAGGCCTGAGTTTTAATATGACTAGAAATGTATATGCCAAATTGTCATTAAGTTCTTTGTGTCTTGTTCTTTTCATCTTAAAATGAGGAAAATTCTGTCTACCACTCAGGGATTAAACACATTACACAGATCTGAAACATTTGACACAGCACCTGAAACACTATGGGGATTGATAAATGATTGTTTTAAGTTACACAAAGTATCTGAAACAGAAGGCAAGAAAGGAACTTTCCATAGTTTGACATCACAGAGCCTCATTTTTCCCCATTCCTGTGATAGTCAATAGCATAACTATTCCATTAATGTAATCTGAAGGAACAAGGTTAACTAAATTTGCTTTTCTCTTTGAAAACTGGTAACCAATATATGGATAGAGTATATCAGTTGAGTTAACCCACATTTCAGGATCATGGTGAAATATGTGAAGTATCATGATGCACTGTCCAACGGGCAAAGTAAGCACGTGCTTAGGGAACCAGCAAATCAAGGACACCGGAAACGTGAGAAAAGTTCCAGCTATAAAGATTGTTTGCAGAATTTTATAATCTGAAAATCTAAAAAGAAACTGTTAAAATTTAAGCACTCATTTTTGATTTTGGATTTCGTTTTTGTAAAAAACATTTTGATATGCCAGGAGACCTCGAGAGAAGGCATCTAAAGCTTTCTAGGGCTTAAGGCATTATATATACAAGGTTCTGGAAAACTCTTTAAAGTTTGTTGACTTGCAGAAAATACTAAAAAACTACTGAACATTAAATATGTATATATTTATATATATATGTATAGATATATATATAGTATCTAATCATCTTTCTCAGAATACAATGCTTCTGTCTTCTTACCTGTTCAAAAGAGTTTTCTCTCCTGCTTACCCTGTCATAACAATCTAAATAATATTTCAGTTGACAGAAATAGTTGTTTAGTCCATAAATAGTCCAGTTTTGATAAATTAATAGAAGTAATTAGTAACCGGTTAGAATATTTTATTTCACAAGGTCCTAGCTACCTCGGCTTTTAATAAGATATGATACACTTAGCCCCAGTGCAAGATCTTTTACAAAATGTTTAGAAAATAAAAATGCCATCATCATACAAGGTTTTGGGAAGAACATTTTATTGCTAAGCATATCCTTGAACGAAAATGCAAATATGAACTAAAAGAGAAAGGAAAAAGAAAAAGCAGTAACTTCACAACATCATAAAATAAATTCCTTAAGAGTCTGCTCATAAAACAACAAGAATATGATAGAAGCTCACATACAGAATGCACATGTTCCCATAAAATTGTCCAAATAGAAACTTACACTAAAGGAATATAACAAATGTATTTTTACTCAAATTAAAAAAAAAATGTAAAGAAAGAAAGCCGGAAATCAGTTCACAAGACCTCAAGACTCCAAAAACAGCAATCTTTTACAGACATCGAGATATAATCAACTTCATATAGGTTGGGCCATTTAAGTTATCTAAAATCGTGCTTTGATATCTCTTTATAATCCTGTCGTTTTTAATGACAACAAAAAAATCCAAAACTCTTAACACATTGAAATATCAGATAATGAGGAACACCTCTTTCCATACACAGTAGTAAAGGCTACCGTTGTTTAGATTGCGCTTTTTGCCCCGTGTCTTTAAGATATTTTTCAAAGTCAAATATTCATGCAACTTACAAAGACCAGCAAGAGTAGATTTCTAAATCTAAACAGCTGATTGATTTTCATCTGTACAAAAGAAATTGTATATAACCGACCCTCCAGAAGTCATACTTCATTTTTGTGTGAATATTTGTCTTGCTTTGTCTCTTGCTTTTTGGATAGCTATGGCCACACAACCAGTTTATTGTTGTTCTGTACATTGTTTCCTCTTTTCAAAAAGAAAGACAGACAACTGGAATATAAACCAAACCAACGGAAATAAACAGAGAAAGGAAAGAACAGTTCTTAAAGCAGTATGTACATAGGTGGCTAAGGAATTATACCAGCAAAAATGTAGTAAAATATGTAAACAAAATCTGAGAAGATTGTTTATTCTCTTTGACACAGTTAACTGTGACAAAACTAAAACTCACACTTTCTTCACATTTTTAAGGTTTACTTTTTTGTTGTTTTGTTATTTTCTTTTAAAACAACATTCTCATTCCACTTCAAGACTTTAACAGCTGTCCTGTTTCAGTCATCCCATCAAACATACCATGATAAATATATCTGTATATATATTTATTTATATATATATTATACTATTAAATTCCTTTTTTGTGTGTGTCACAGCAGCTTTATTCATTTATTATTTATTTGTTTTTAGAAAAGATGGGTGAAGGGAGATGTGAGCAAATGGAAGGACAGAGTTATCCGTAAGTGTCAGGCTACAAAATTAAACCACTATGAAAAACATCATGTTGGGGGTGGGGGAAGAACTATGTATTCTGCACTCTGTCATGCCATGTTTGGCTTGTGTGACCTTTTGTGGTTCCATCACACGTTGAACTCCCCTATTGTCTGTTTTGATTCTTTAACAGACATTTAGTATTGTCTCGTCTTTTTATATTTGCATGCATTTCGATCAGTCGCAGATCCAGCCCACCCCCTCTTCACCTTCCCTAGGAAAGGCTCTGTGTTAGTTTGTGGGGCTTTCTCCTTTACCACAATTTGGCTGGGCTAATGAACAGGAACAATATTGTTAAGTAAAGCCAATAGCTCTGATAAAACCAGCCCTAACCCCATCTATTCAGGGTTTGGGTGGCAAATTCTGCAATTAGATCCTGAGGGACCAGCTTTTCAAATCAATACTATCATCCATCATGTGATTTTGCTATGTGTTTCAGCAAAGCATCGTACAGGAAACAAACAACAGATTCTAGAATACCACAACCTGATATGTAGAGTGAACACCATGGTAGCTTTTGAGTTCATATGGCAATAGTCTCTCTTACTCTTGTTTTCTGAGTTTTTTGTTTGTTTTTTTCTTCTTATGTCCAGTCATTCTCAAAAAATAAACAAAAACCCAAAAGCCATTTTTCCCCTCAGATCTTGAAAAGTTACACGTACACTGGCCAAAACCAGATAAGGGTGGGTTTTTTTTTTTTGTTTGTTTGTTTGCTTTTGTTTTTAATTTTTTTAATTTTTTTGTTTTTGTTTTTTACATAATTAAACCAAAAAAAAAAAAAAAAGAAAACATTGTTACATATTGTTACAGTCAAGCTTCACAAACATCATTACAGACTCACTTGGAGTTATGGAACAAGTAAGCCATGAAGTCTTCTACCTTGGGTGAAAAGTCCTCAAGAGAAGGAAGCTTCCAAGTCCGCGAAAGTGGGGGTGACATCTGGTTGCTCCAGAGCGCAAAGTGTGTGCTTTATGATACAGCAGGGCAGAAAGAGTGTTCTGTCTCCGGGCGATGACTGAGTCAAAGCAGCCATGGCTGAACGGTATAGGTAGGTACATCTTTGTTTGTGTCCTTTTAAAAATGGTTTTCCCCACCATGGTCATGGTACACCCCATCTCATAGTTACAGCAGTTCTGACATCTGTGAAATCTCATTTTCCAAGTATTTATAGATTTCTATAGAAATAATTCTGCGTCATAAATTCACGTAATGGTTGGCGGTGTCGTTTTTACACATAATACTCCTTGTCCTTGTTTTTCTGCTTCTTGTGGCCGCTCTTTGAGCTCTGCTGCTTCTCCTTGATGAGCGTGCCGTTGCTCTGGGCCGAGTTGCTGATGTAGTTCCGCGTCTCATCCACTTGATAGGACCCCTCGTCCCTGTTCCTGTACTTGTACATGGCGTACAGGAGGATCAAGATGCAGAGGGCGGCAGCAGCCACAATGCCGACGACCATCCCTGTTGTACTGCTCGACTCCCGGATCACCTCTGAGGCCCCCGGAACCCGTCTGACTCCCGGCTCCGTGGGGTTTGCTGTGGGCACATTACGGAACATGGGGGAAGTAATTAGTGGGCTCTTCAGTTTGGTGCTGTCTAGCTCATAGGCAGTGGGCAACGGAAGCAAGACTATATCAGGCTGGGGTTTGAGATCACGGTTATTCATTTTGCCAGCTGGCAATTTGGGCACCATCCCAGACGAGGAGGAAGCTGTGAAGCGGATCAGCTCAGGGGACAAAGATGTGGTAGTAGTCCTACTAGTTTCGGAGACTTTGTTAGGTCTAAAGTCCTTGGATTCCCACTTGGGCGCATGTGCTTTGTAGCCACCTTCGAAGATTGAAGTGGAAAGACTCTTATCTGTTACCAAGGAGAAGGTGGTGTAAAAATCTTCATCATCAGTAGGGGGCAGGTTAGAGTCAAAGGTTTCCCCTGAGCCATACCCAGATATCACCAAGCCATCATCATCACAACCATCGCTGCCTTGGTCCGACAAGCAAGGTAACCCCGCCTCAGAGGTCATGGACAGGGAATCTTTGGTGGTCTCAATAATGGTGAGGAGGGGGCGAAAGGTAGGGGGGAGTGTAATGGAAGGTGCACGAGTAGCAATAGGAGGGGTAGCTAAAGGGTCTTCTACAAGAAGAGGGATAACTAATTCACCTCCTGGGATTGAAAGAAAAAGAAAAACAGAATTAGTATATTTGTAGATAAACACAAACCATAGTCATTCTCAGTGACTGTATTTGATAGGTTAGGCATCACAGATGATCACAGAATGATCTGGGTCCACTCATGGATCCTTTCTTGTAGTAGACTAACCATTCGAAGCTGATTTAGAGCCCATTACATGCCTCTTGCCATCACACTCTGAAATTCTTAGGTTTTTAAGATACTCTCAAGTAATTATTTAGATAGAATTCAAATAGGCCAATTCCAGGATCTGCTTACAGGATAATGGCATCCAGTCATACTGCTGCAAAGACTACAGGCTAGCAAAACTGTGTGTGCGTGTGTGTGTGTGTGTGTGTGTACGTGCACATGCACGTGACTAATTTGTGAACTCTAGCATTTCTTTATTCCCTTTTTGGGTTTCTATTTATTTGCTCCCACGAGGATGAGTGTGACATGTTCTCCATGTCCCAGAGACCAAGATTAAGGAACATAAAAGACCTTGTCTTTAGTATTTTAAGCTACTACCTTTTATTTAACATTCATCAAGTTCAATCTACATTTGCTATATGCTGAGGGAAGGGAACTCATGAGAGCTTAAAAATGTTAATCTAACAAACCCATTCTGACTATGCTTTTCCAGAAATTGCCCTACTAAATGGCAACTAACTTTGCCTTGGTCTCATATTATGTTTATGCATTGCTTTTATGCTATATGCAATATATGCTGAGGTTGACACTAGATTTTTTTAATACCCAGGCTAGATACCCACAATTTACTGGAAATTTAGATTCAGAAATGTAGAGATAGCAAAGTGAGTCTTTAAAATCAGCAATTCTTATCCAGAATGGGAAAAAATTGGTTTACCCACAGACCCTAGTTATTGCATTTATAAACATGTGGACTAAGTCAGGAAAGAAAGTGCAGAATAGTTCGCTAAATCATAGTGCCTCGCAGATCATGGGTACCACAAATATTCTGTGGTGGATGTTACTCACCTAATTGTAGGGCCAAGTTTATTACTCATCTACGTAAGCAAGATAATCAAGGTCTCTTCTGTGTCTCTTTACAGTGTTATTTTTCAAACAGAGGGAGAATCTCCAGAAGTTACAGTTCATGTCTCCTCACTGCATTTATTCCCAAAATGTATCCTGTTGTTTAAAAAAAATCCTCTAGCAGGGAGGGCATGATGTTTTCCTGTTGCAGTTTAGACAGCTGAGTTGCTAATATAATATTATTGTCAATGTCTTCTTTCTGAGCTGGGTCATTAAGCTCTCAGTCAGGTACAATGTTCTTGTCTGTTCTGCCCTCCATAGAACTGCCCTCATGGGATGATTGGTGTTTAAACGCCTGTTATCAGATGTGACTTTTGCTGAGGCACCCCTTATTGGTGACAAAGCCAGACACGTGACTCAATATCGCAAAGTTCTAAGTGGACAAGCCTTTAGTTTACATGGTCTTCCCAGGTTCTTCCTATAAAGACTCACTCACAAATGAGAACTCTCCTGCTTAGCTTTCCATACCATGTATCTTTATTTATTTTTTTAATTATTTTTTAATTTACATCTAAGTTAGTTAGCATATTGTGCAACAATGATTTCAGGAGTAGATTCCTTAATGCCCTTTACCCATTTAGCCCATCCCCCTCCCACAACCCCTCCAGTAACCCACTGTTTGTTCTCCATATTTAAGAGTCTCTTATGTTTTGTCCCCCTCCCTGTTTTTATATTATTTTTGCTTTCCTTCCCTTATGTTCATCTGCTTTGTATCTTAAAGTTCTCATATGAGTGAAGTCATATGATATTTGTCTTCCTCTGACTAACTTCACTTAGCATAATACCCTCTAGTTCCATCCACATAGTTGCAAATGGCAAGATTTCACTCTTTTTGATTGCTGAGTAATACTCCATTGTGTATATACACCACATCTTCTTTATCCATTCACCCATCGATGGACATTTGGGCTCTTTTCATACTTTGGCTATTGTTGATAGTGCTGCTGTAAACATTGGGGTGTATATGTCCCTTCGAAACAGCATGCCTATGTCCCTTAGATAAATACATCATAGTACAATTGCTGGGTCATAGAGCAGTTCTATTTTTAATTTTTTAAGGAACCTCCATAACCGTTTTCCAGAGTGGCTACACCCATTTACATTCCCACCAGCAGTGCAAAAGAGATCTTCTTTCTCCTCATCCTTACCAACACCTGTTGTTGCCTGAGTTGTTAATGTTAGCCATTCTGATGGTGGTGAGGTGGTATCTCATTGTGGTTTTGATTTGTATTTCCCTGATGATGGAGTGATATTGAGGATCTTTTCATGTGTCTGTTAGTCATCTGGATGTCTTCTTTGGAGAAGTGTCTATTCATGTCTTTTGCCCATTTCTTCACTGGATTATTTGTTTTTTGGGTGTTGAGCTTGATAAGTTCTTTATAGATTTTGGATACTAACCCTTCATCTGATAGGTCGTTTGCAAATATCTTCTCCCATTCTGTCGGTTGCCTTTAAACATTTCCTTGTGCCTCAGTTCAAACTGCTGCATCTACACCGTCCAGATTTCAGTGTGCTAAAGAGAAGGGCCTTCTGAGAGGAAAGCTATTGCATAACTTCAAAGCATCTGAGAAGAACCCATGTTTGTACCCATGTCAGAAGCTTTACTTCCTCCATATTTAGCCAATAACACTCTGTTACACAGAGAGAAACTGAGTTGGGGGAGGTGGCAATGATGTACATAATGTGTATCATTTGGAAGGGATAATCATCTCTGCCCTGCTTGATAATGTTACCAAATGTAGGGAAATAAAACAACCTTTCTGAGAATTTCAAGACGATATTTTGAGTTATGCTCCAGCCCCAAGCTTCTCTTCTAGTTATTGGAGTTTCAAACTATTGAGTAAAATGATCTTTGCAGAATTGTCAAGTCTTCAGACTTGCTTTACTGGGCCAGCGTGCCTTTTTTTTTTCTTTTTCTACACTGTGAATATATATCATTCATATATGTTGCAACTTATTTAATGCATACTTTACAACTTTTGCTAATTTTTATAAATGGGATTGGAGCACAGTTCCCAAAATGTAAGCCAGCCCTAAAACTAACCCTGAGTTTCTCTCCCTATCTAGTGGGGTGGGGGTCAAGTGTTATATTTAAGGTGACCCATGGAAGAAGGCAGTGTGTAAGTAGGGAAGAGAAGGCAACGAGAAGAGAGAAGAGAAGGCCCTTGCGATCTGTTTGAAGGTTCCCAGGAGATTACTCAGGGATGATTTTACTTTCCTTCAGAGAGCAAGACAGGACTTTTTTACCCATCTCGCCTAGAACAAAGGTTTAGCATGTGAGCCCTTTCCTGGCACAAATACTGAGTCATCTATTCCTTAGGGCAATGATAAAAATCGACTCCACGTATATTAAGCAGAGAGGAAACTGGGATAAAAGATAAGGAATAACCGATTTGTTGAAAGGCAAAAGCCTGGTATGGATAACTTAAACATAAAGGCAAATTGTTAAGTAGCTTGCTGGTGTCCCTTTAAGTGAGATTAAGATCACTGTCTTCGTGATTACAGACTGGCATTCATTTGCAATTTTAGTGTACCATCTGTGACACCCAACTGGACTCTTAAATTTGCCTCCTTTCCCCCCACCCCTTTTTTTCAATCTAAAGCTCCTGCAGTGTCTTTGTTGTAAAAAATCTACAAAATCTACAAGTTGCTCACTCTGCAGTTGAATTGCCCCCACCTTCTTTTGCTATTCAGTTCTCAATCCAATACCTTTCAATCTCTCTTGTACTAAAAAAAAAAAAAAAAGTAAAAACCATCATTTCATAATGAAGTGGAGGGAGTGTCCTAAAGCTCGCTAATTATAAAGAGCTTCTAAAGGGTTGGTGAGACTCTAAGTGAAATGATAAGAGCTTATTTCCAAACCAAAACTGTTGGGTATGCTATTTCAGAGTTTAAATAAAAGAATCTGCCCAAATGACTAATTTCTTTCAGTTTTCTTTGCCATTTTGTTATTAATCCTGGCAGCAGTGGTAAAAAAATGATAAATGTTTAAAGGAAAGTCACCTGGGATGCAGCAATTGTTACAAATGGGAGTTAGAATAAAAATAGGTGGAAAATTTTAGAGAACTATAATTGTGCAAGGTGCCTGGCACAGGTGTGTGAGTTAGAGTGTATAACCTATTTTAATACCAAATTCCATTTTTAACATTTACAATGATTATATAGTGTCCTATGGAATATAAGGACATACATCCTTTGAGAAGAGGAGACGAGGAATATATTTCTCCATGATTAGATCCTTAACAGAAATGACTTAGATTGTAGGAACCTATTTAAGATTTTATGTTTATTTGTTTTAATCCAAAGTGATTGTCCTCGGGAATCTTAGAGCAGCTGATTTTTTTTCCCCAATGCCCAAAGACTGTGGAGTCAATGAACTTCCAGATGTCTATGCTTCTAAAGATTCATATTCATAGAAGCAGCAAGCCTAAAATCATAAGGGGTTACAGGCAGAAGGACCGAAACCCTGTAGGCCATCAACACCCTAATTTCCTGTTCCATCCCCAGAATTTTTCTTTGGCTTGGAATGAGAACTATCTTTATTCCTTTAACCTTAGCATTTTAAATCAGGAATATATACCCATTTTTGACAGGGTTGTGCTTTTCTTTAAACTAGAGAGATCACTAGGGATATAAAAGGTCTATTTTAGCCCTGAAGGCTGCCCTGCTTTTTTGCTTTAAGAGTGTATTTATAGATATATAATTCATGTGTCTAGGGCTGATACCCAGCAAAAGGGGCTCTCTGCCATCGAAAAAGACAGTGTATTAAAAATTTAATAGAACTCTTCTGAACTGTGAGAATTTTGCAGATGATGGTGAATGTAGTGGGTCATCTGAAAAAACAAGGGCAGCACGAAATTTCAATGTGGCTCCCACCTTTGCCTCTCTGGAGACATTTGAGTCTAAAAGTCACAAAAATACCAAAACAATGACACTAA